CCACCATAAGCGCTCTCGTGGGCGACCGCGCCGAAGGCGTTCTCCGCGATGAAAGCTCCGCCCTCGTAGGCGGCAACCTCGGCGGGGGCGCCCGTCGCGGTGCCTGCGGCGGAGCCGTACAGCTCGGGGTCGTCGCGGATGAGCTTCTTCTGCTCGGAGGCGGCCTCGTTGAACTGCTCCTCCGTGGACTTCCCCACGAGGACGACCAGCACGAAGAGGACCGCCACAGAGCCCAGCGAGGCGGAGGCCCCGAAGGCGATGCTGTGCCCGAGGTGCGCACCGCCCGTGCGGGGGTACATCGTGACGACCAGGCTGGCTGCCCACACGTACTGCGCGAGCCCACCGAGCTGCAGGACGACTGCGGTCGCGTACGCGATCCGCGTCCACAGGCGCAGCACGGCCTTCGGCTTCACGTACACGTACCGGTACAGCAGGGCCGCGCCAGCGAGCATGGCCACGAAGCTCAGCACGACGGCCAGGACCAGGCCCCAGGACGCGAACTGCAGGAACTGCGAGGCCATGCACGCGTTGTCAGTGATCTTGGGGACCTTTGGCAGGGCGCACATGTGCTCGCGGAACTCGTCCAGCCTGTACCTCCTCTCCACCAGTGAGTTCACCCACGACATCGCGTTCGAGGTGACGGGGTCGATGAGGGCGGCGGCCAACGAGCCGAGGTAGCCCGTCTTCAGCTGCAACTCGAAGAGCCCGCCCTCGAGGCGGTAACTAGTACGGATTCTTCTTGGACACCCAGCTCGTGGTGCACATCGCGCAGGTCCACCCGACGAGGCACATCGCCGTGAAGAGGAAGACGGCGCGGGCCCCGAGGGTCTCGCCGCCTTTCATCGCGGGCACGGCGGCAAGAGGAGTGAGAGAATCTGGGGGGGACGCCGACAGAGCTCGGCGGCAGACCTGTAACCTGAGAGCTTGAGCCAAAACGGCTACGAGCGAGGAGAATGACGGTGAGGATGGGCAGAAAGGGGAGAGGGAGGGGGGGCCCGTGCCAGCATGGGTCGCAACCTCATGCCTTGCAGCATCGACCCGGTCGATCCGACTGTTACCCTTTGGCTCGTGAGTTTGTGAGACGCTGGGACATCCTCTGCGCTCAACGACTACCGTGGACCACGCATGTGTTTTGTTTGCGCAGTGCCAGCGAGTTCTGCGTTCGTCGTCCCCGGGTGTTCCTAAGAGACGATCTTTCATTCGATGTGATCTTCCATTCCCGAATTCCCGGGGACTGTCCCGAGACCCTCTTTTGCGCGCCAAGCTAGTCAACTCGAGGTGAATCGAGCCAGGTCGCAATCGAAGTCGTAATTGAATCGCAAGGAAATCCCTTCCCCTTGATCCCTTCCCCATCCGGGGGAAGGGCCCTTGCAGGGGTGTTCCAGGGGGGGCAAATATGGCCCGTCTTCGGCATATCAAATCCAAGATGCTCCAAGAGGAGCCCAAGAGTGCCCAGAGTCGCCGAAAGATTGCTCTAAGACGCCCAAGATGGCCTCCAGACGGTCCAAGAGGCCCCCAAGAGCACTCCCAAGAGGGCCCCAAGAAGCAACATGCATTCAATTGCCGTTGGTTGTTGACAGATGTTCACGTTTCTGCCTTTTCGGCTTCCCGACGCTCCCAGACGGCCCAAGAGGCCCAAAATATCGTCTCAAGACGGCCTCCACGACGGCCCAAGAAACCTCCAACCCCACAAGGTGAGGACGACCCGAAATTTCGAGCTCGTTGCCCCAAGGGGCTCCCGGGCGGCACCGACGCTCCTAAGAGGTCCCTAAGAGGCCCCACAATGCCCCCAAGAAGCCACCAGGAAACACCACGACGCTCTCAAGAGGCTCTCACGATGCTTCCAAAAGGCTCCCAGGCGGCCTCCAAACTGCCCGTAGAGCTCCCGACAGCCCTCCGAAGAGATTCCAAGAAGCACCCATGAGGATTCCGACCCACTACGCAGGCACGGTGGCGGGATGGGCCGCAGGCCACTAGATCCGCCGCCCCCTGCTTGCAGGGGTGCACGGCGTGCTGGACGAGCTGTTAGGTTTTGGTTTTGGTTCTTTTTCCAAAAGAACTCCCCAGTGGGCTCCGGCAGAACCCGCCACCGTGCGCAAAAACGGCCGTTTCGCTCGGGACATCCTCAAAAAATCGCGAAGATGGCCCAAGATGGCCTCCAAGTCCGCCCGAGATGGTCCAAGACGGCCTCCAAAACGGCCCAAGAGAGTCCAAGACGGCCCAAGACGGCCCAAGAGGCCCCCCAGAGGCCTCCCAGACGGCCCAAGAGGCCTCCAAGAGGTCCTCCAGGAGAGTCCGAAGAGGGCAAAATCATTGATTTTCCCTTGGTTTTTGAAGGATTTTGGCATTTGCGCCTTTTCGGCTCTCCGACGGCTCAAGACGGCCCAAGAAGCCCCCAAGATCGCCCAAGAGGCCCCCAAGAGAGCCCCCTGATGGCCCAAGTGGCCTCCAAGATGGCCCCTAGAGGGCCCCAAGACGGCCCAAGAGGCCTCCAACACGCCCAAGATGGCCTCCAAGACGCCCAAGATGGCCTCCAAGACGGCCCTGGAGCGCCCCAAGAGGGTCCCCCGTTGGCCCAGACAGGCCCCCAAAACGGCTCCCGACGGCGTCAGACGTGCCAGGAACCCACCAAGATGGCCGAAGTTGGCTCGAAGCTGGCCCAAAAGGGCCCAAGAGGCCCCCAAGAGGGCCTCCAGGAAGGCCAAAAGATGCCAAAATCACTGATTTTCCCAAGGTTTTTGATGGATTTGGGCATTTCCCTTCTTTCGGCCTTCCGACGGCCCGAGACGGCCCAAGAGCCCCCAAAGATCGCCGAAAGATCGCCCAAGAGGCCTCCAAGACGACGACGATGACCATCAAGACGCCCACGTGTTCCCCGAAGGCTTTCCAAACCGATTCGGGGAACACATGGTCCGATGGCTTGGCAGGTCTGGCCTCAACGTTCGGCCACATAGGCGCTTCCACAAAGGCAGGGGGCGGCGGTGATTCGCCGTAGGCGTCTTCGATAATCCAAGAGGGGTTTCAAATCAACCGAGCGCCCCAAGAGAGCCCCAGGAAGACCCCCACATAATTCCAATCAAACCCTCAACAGGATCAGACCAGGAACCTTTGGTGTGACACTGTTGCGGGCTGTTTCGGGAGCCCACATAGGGGGCCCCTCAGTCTTTCTAAAGCCTCTTGGTGCCCTTGGGGCCTCTCTTCAAGCTTCTTGGGACTTCAGGGAGCCCAGAGAAAGCTCCAAGAAGCCTCCAAGAGAGCCCGGGGAGAGGTCCAAGAGGGTTCCTAGAAGGTCCCCAACAGTATCATACCAAGGCACGGTGGCGGGATGGACCGTGGGCCACAAGATAATCCAAGAGGGGCCTGACATCGCCCGAAATCCCCACGAGAGCCCCCGCATAATTCTCCAAGTGCCTCTCAGATCGTCAGGGTGGCGCTGCATGTCCGCCAAAACGATCCAAGATGCTCCGCCTCCTCCTCCTCCTCCTTCTCCTCCATCTCCTGATTCCCCCCCTTTTCCTCCCCAGCGGCTGCGAGAGCACATAGGCAGATTGCTTGGCAAAACTGTGCTCCAGGTCATACGCTCCTTGGGAACCGCATGAGACTCCAGGGGAACTTTTCGGGGCTTCTGGTCCCAACCTTCCCGAGCAACTCTGCTGTCAACTTCATCATGGGTGTCTTCTCCCAGGGTCGGCGGCACCAGCGGCAACGCCTTCACAATAAGCACGACTGCAACCAGTGCACGGCAGGCTCTAGAACTATGCAGCGGCATGAAGCGCGCAGTCTGACAATACAATTCATGTCTCGACCTCTTCCTCGGGATACATGTTTAGCCCGGGTATTGTTTCGATTGTCTCAAGGCTCGAAACAGCCCTCCGGAGGCTGGAAAACAAAGAAAGCTACCGGCGCGAATTTTCCGAGACTCTGGAGGTCTGTGCATCGAGGCGAGGCGCCAGCATGCCGCATCGTAGGCCCTGGCCCTGAGACCTGCGAGCGCGCCCCCACACGGCCAGAGACAGCGCAGCCCGAGCCACCAGCCTGAGCCCCAAGTGAACGACGAAGACAACGGGGTTTTACACATGACGGCACCGCGATCACCCTGCGCGATGGCTTGCGCAGGCCGCCAACGCGGCACACCGTGTGGAGAGGAGGGCGCTCACGTGCAACCTTGCGCCGGCAGCTTGCTCGCAGATGCCTGCGCAGTCGAACCTGGTCTTCCATGTCGCTGAGTTGCAACTTACAGTCATCAATCTTTGCTTAGCGTGTCGCGGCGGCGGCCCCGGCGACGCGCTATGCCCTGCGAGCGGATAGCATGTCGCCCCGCTCCGCGGGGCGGGAGGCTGGGAAAGGCTCGGGACGTTGGCGTTTGGGAAATGTGAAGTGGCCAGCGTGTCGCGCCGAAGCGTGGCCAGGACGGAACTGGCGGAACGACGCGCTGAGCCAGAGTTCCCGACCCTATCTGCCGCCTCCCGAGGTCCTCGCACGCGACCAGGCCGCGACCCGCCCGCGATCCGCCCTGCGACGCGCCCGCGACCCACCCTGCGACCCTCCCCGCGACCCACCCCGCGGCCGCCCCTTCACGCTTATCCGCAACAGCGAGGTATGCTACGCATCCACCGCCTCCCGGGGTCCAGGGAGCTCTGCTCCCTGGACTGTGGGCAACCTGCAGACGGTGAGGGATCACTTTGCGGGCGGACCCCTGCATGCATGCGTTCGACACAAGGTGGCACTCCGCGCAGCTGCCACTCACTGCACAGTGGGAGCTAGCACCACTTCGCCCTGCGAGCCAGCCACAACGCCGCACGCATGCGACGGACACGGCGCATCCGCTGAGGCTTCATGGCGCCCGCCAGCTCCTGAACGGTGAGGGCATTGGATGAGGAACCCTTAGATACGGAGCTCAGGGTCTGGAAGCTGGTGGAACTCCGATCGTGGACTGGCCAGAAATAGCACCTCCGCCCTCGTCAGTTGAGGAACCCTCCAAAGTCTGAAGCATCCTGGGCACATTCCCTACCCTAGCCAGCGAGGGGCGGTATAACATCAACTTTTCCGTCACCAGGGGCGCCTGCCCCAGGTGATGGCTGGAGAGTTGATATCCTTACGTGCCACCGGGTAGGGGTAGAAACTTTCCTGCCGCGTCGCCGCGTCCCCCTCGGCGAAACAATTTATTTCATGCCTCTCTTCGCCCGTTGATGAACCGACGATCCTGGTACCGCTACTTCCTGGACTTCTACCGGGGTGCGTTCTGACCAGAATCTCGGGGCGAATCCAGCAGTGGCGACGAGGGCCTCCGAGGAGGCCAGAAACGGTAAAAACGAGGAAAGGGTGGGGCATGGGTACCTTTGCCTCCTCTGGCCACCGTCCTTCAGGATCTCTGCCTCCCTCTTCGCGTTCTTCGTGTACTTCTCGACGTTGCGGATCACCTGGCGGCCACGGGCGTCTCGCCGGCGGGGCGCGCGCGAGCCCCGCAGTCGGCGGCGCGCAGGGGTATGGGACGGGGGGAAGGCTTCTTAGAAGGGGGCTGCTCCTTAGAGGGCGCGGGCCTTACATCTGCAGACAAGGCCCACGCCTGCTAAGAAGCAGGGGTGCTTCTCAGAAGCCTTCCCCCCTCCCCCTGCCCCCCCTCTGCGCGTGGCTGAACGTGCTTAGGCGTAAAAAGGAACCCATAACCCTTGGGGAGGCGACCTGAGTTAGGAGGCCCAGAAACGTTAGGGATAGGGGATCTTTTCAGCAGATGTATCAAACCAAACCGCCCAGATCGAATATCCCTCGTGCGAGAACGGGGACCTCAGTGAGGCTACCCTGCACGGATTCCCCCAGGGCCGTAGGCGACCCGAGGAGGAGGAGGAGGAGGAGGAGAAGGAAGTGAAGGAGGGGGAGGGGAAGGAGGAGATGGAGGATGAGGATGAGGATGAGGATGAGGACGAGGACGAGGATGATGATGATGATGATGATGATGATGATGATGATGATGATGATGATGATGATGATGATGATGATGATGATGATGATGATGATGATGAGGATGATGATGAGGAGGGGAGAGGAGGAGGAGGAGGAGAAGGAGGAGGAGGAGGAGGGGGGCAGAAGGATGGAGGAGGGGTCGGCGACCCGAGGAGGGGAAGGAGGAGGAGGAGGAGGCGAGAGGAGGAGGAGGAGGAGGGAGGAGGAGGTAGGAGGAGGAGGAGGAGATGGAGGAGAGTAGGATGAGAAGGAGTAGGAGAGGAGGAGGAGGAGGAGGAGGAGGAGGAGGAGGAGGAGGAGGAGGAGGAGGAGGAGGAGGAGGAGGAGGAGGAGGAGGAGGGAGGAGGGGTCGCCTAAGCCCTTCGGAGAAACCCTCAAGCTGCGACCATCTGGGAACTCTTTTTGGATATCAGTGTTTTTTTTAGTTCTTGTCCAAGATCCGCCTGTGGGAGGACATGCCCGACCTGAGCCTCGTGCCCAGATCCGAGCAAGACTGGAGCCGCACGCGGCTTGATCCGCACGCAGAGCGCGCCGGGTGCGCGCGCGCGCTGGTCACCGTGCGGGGCTTCGGCGTGCACGGTCACACGGGCGCAGGCCAGAGAGCCCTTCGGCCACGTGCGCATTCGGGGGCGCACTGGCCCGGGTCAGTGCAAACCCGTGTCGGCCGGGCCTGCAGGGTCCTGCAGGATCCTGCGCCCAAGCCCGTGTCAGTGCGCCCCTGGCCCTGCAGGATGCAGCAAGAAGCGGCGCCCTGGCTGACCCCCGGTGGCATTGACCCCCGTCTCTTGGGCCCCGACGTGTGTAGCTCTCGCCCGGGCAGGAGCAGGAGGAGGAGGAGAAGGAGGAGGAAGAGGAGGCGGAGGAGGAGGAGCAGGAGGAGGAGCAAGAGGAGCAGGAGGAGGAGGCGCAGGAGGAGGAGGAGGAGGAGGAGGAGGAAGAGGAGGAGGAGGAGGAGGAGGAGGATCCGGAGGCACCCTGCTGGCTGCTGCGCACCGGCAGCCGCCTTCCGACGACGACTGACGGCAGTAGCGGAACCGACCCTCCTTCCCCCCTGTACCTCCACTCCCCTGACAGTAGCGCCCATCATCCAGCGAGGTTTTCCCAACAAGAACTGCCTTCAGCCGCCTGGGATGGGAAGGGCGTCATGACACTGTCAGACACCGCCCTCCACCTTGCAGGCTTTGAATATGGGAAGAGATGCAAATGCCTCGGGCTGCGCGCAGACAGCCCCCCCAAATAGTTCCCGCTGGCTTCCACCGGCCCCCCGAACAGTCTGGGCTGGTCTCAACAGCCCAACCCTGGGGAGTGGAGCGCTCCAAGGGCGCCGCTGGAGGCGGCGCCGGGGCGTTGAGACCGCCCCGGACTACTCGGGGGGCCTGCTGAAGCCAGCGGGGACTACATTAGGGGTGGGGGAGGGCTGTCTGCGCGCAGCCCGAAGCCCTACCAGACACCGCCCTCGATCTTGAGCGCCTTGAATGTGGAGCACGGAGGGGGATGCCCTTCTCGCCCTTCACTGGGGAAACCAGAAGATGGCGATGCAGCTGCTCCCTGGACCTCTTCTTGGCCGCGTTCTGACCAGGACTTCGAAGCGTGCCCAGCTCTGGCGCCGAGGGCCTCCCACGAGTCCCCACTGTGCGGAGACGTGGGAAGCGCATCGGTATCGGTGCCTTTTCCTCCTCCCATGCTCGGCCCCTCCACCCTCAGAGTTCTCCTCCGGGGCTCAACTCTGCGAGGACTGAGGCGTCAAGCCCAGGCGCATCGCCAGAACGCGCTGTCGCTCGCGCTGCTTCCCCTCCGCTCTCTCCTCGTCCCCCCTCCCCGGGACCCGTCCTCCAGGACTGGCCTCCCTGGGCTGGAGTTCCCTGCGCCCAGCTGGAAGCATGATGCTCCACTTCCTCTTGCTCTCCTTCCTCCTCCTTCTCCTGCTCCTCCTCCGGCCCGTGCCTGCGGAGTGTCTGGTCTGGGCTGCTGGGTGGGTCGGGCCCTCCCCGCGGGGACGGGGCGCCGGCGTTCCGAGACCCTTCAAGGGTCTGGCTCCTGTCGGTGCCCTGTCGGGGGCGCTTTGAGCTGATTCTCGTACCCGGGCTGCGTAGTTCATGCCGCGCCTAGACTTCGCTTTTCTGGTAGGTGTTCGGTCTCGCACGCCTTCCGTATTCGACCGCACCCCCTTCCCCCCTGGGGGAAAAGTCAACGAGAGCCCGCAAGAGGTCCGGGGATGGCCTTGAGGAGTCTCTTCGGCGAGGCGCGGGGGGCAGCCCCGGTCCAACGAGCCCGCGCGGGGCTCCACGAGTTTGTGCGTGCTCCTTCGATGTATCTGGGTCCTGGCTCTGGCGGAAGGAAAGAAGAGAGAGCGAGGGAGACCACTGCCGCCAAAAAGAGGAATACTTAGACTGATATCAAGAATACGGCTAATAGTGATAGTGAAACTACGAATTGTACTACTACTACTACTACTACTACTACTACTACTACTACTACTACTACTACTACTACTACTACTACTACTACTACTACGACGACGACGACGACGTACGACGACGACGACGACGACGACGACGACTACTACTAATACTACTACACTACTACTATTTAATATTACTACTGCCGTTAATACTACTACCTTACCACCACCACCCCCCCACACCACCACCACCACCACCACCACCACACTACTACTACTACTACTATACTACTACTACTACTACTTTACTCCTATTACTACTACTACTACTACTCAGTACTAGTACTACTACTACGACTACTAACTTACTACTACTATTTACTACTTACTACTACTTACTACTATACTACTACTACTATACTAGTATATACTTTACTACCACTACTCACGACTACTACTTACTGCTACTACTACTACTACTATTGCTACGTTGATACTTACTACAACTATACTACTGCTCGGCTCCTGCTACTGCTAATGCTACGCCTAATGCTAATGCTACTGCTAGTGCTACGCCTGCTACTGATACTGCTACTGCTACTGCTACTGCTACTGCTATTGCTACTACTATTACTACTACTACTACTACTACTACTCCTCCTACTACTACTACTACTACTACTACTACTACTGCTACTCCTACTACTACTACTCCTACTCCTCCTCCTACTACTACTACTACCACTACTACTAGAACTACTACTACTACTACTACTACTACTACTACTACTACTACTACTACGACTACTGCTAATACTACTATATCCACTACTACTACTACTACTACTACTACTACTACTACTGCTACTACGACTACTACGACTACGACTACGACTACTACTGCTACAAATAAAACAACAACTACTACTACTACTACTACGACTAGTACTACGACTACTACGATTACTACGACTACAACAACAACTACTACTAATGATACTGCTATCAATAAGAAGACGCCGGCTACGTCTAATAACAACAATTCACCATACTACTACTCGTGCTTAATACACGAATGATACGAAAGCGATTAACCATTATATACACGATTGCAAGAGTAATGATCGTAAACATCAGAATGCGGATGACATTCTTCGAGAGGGGAAGAAACACGGCGAACAAAAAGAGAAACGAACATAACAACACATCGCATCGCACCGTCGCCAGCCATATGCGCGGAACCTGGGATCAACTCGCTCGGCGGCCACGTCGAACTCGCGATGCTGAATTGATGCCGTCTCTCTTCGTCGAAATCCTCGGACCTCGATCTTCGAGCCTCTCCCTCTCTCACGTCCACGCGCCTTGACAGCCACTCTCCGATTTTTCTTCAGGTCGTCGGCCAGCAAGACCCGGCCGAAGGTGCCATCGCCCAGCAGCTCGGCGACCTAACGGGATCGATGGTCGCTCCCCTCGATCCTCGATCCTGCTAAGCTCGACAAACTTAGCAACCTGTTAGCAAGCGTGGGCCCAGAATAACGTGTTTCTCACAACCTCTGCGGTGCAATTCATGTGGTGTTCTTCGCCCTGCCGAATTTGAAACTGTCAACTCCACTGCTCGCGCAATCATCCCGCCCACCCGCCCGCAACTTTGTTTGCAAAACCCATGCGGCGGCGATTGCGATGACTGCTTGGCGCTGGCTGGCGTGTCGCTGCGGCCGCGTTTGCGCGCGAAGCATCGCGCGCAAAGCGGCCAGCTAGTCTGGCGCGACCGACGCGGCCGCGGTATCGATGACCGATGAGGACTTCCCAGCGCGTGTCGCGCTGACGCGCGGGCAACTCAGTGCGAGTCGGTGACTCGGTCGGGCGCGGTAGCATGACGACGTGGACAACCGCACACACGATGATGATTGTGGCGATGCTGGTGACAACGATGACGACGCTGACGGCAAAGCCAATGACGGCGCCGATAATGATCATTCGGATGACGCTGATCGTTTCTTCGTGTCGGTGGTGAAGGTTGTGAAATGATTTGGGCGTGCACGCGCGGTCGCCGGGCGCGACTGTTTGGGGCCGTGCGTCCTAGGGGGGAGGCTCCAACTGCTCGAAACAGGCGCCGGAAAACAGCGAAGATCTACCCCATGGGGGAGAGGGAGGGGGGGGTGCGAGGGCCCACGCCGTTCGGCAACACAATGAATACAAAACGGCCACCTTTGGGCATTGTTTAATCCACCCCTATCCACCATGAAAGTGGCCTGGGCCCTAATGGCCGATTGACCCCCTAGGTGGGGATGTAGGCCGTTCCCGTTGGGTTTCGAGTTGTGTGTCCCCAGCTGGGGTGCAAGGATGCTGGGGGTCTGGACGGGGATGGCGATGGGGATCGGGATCGGTTGAACGATGCGGATCCTTGGTTCCGGGGGGACAACAGGGTGGGATAGCCAAGGGCAGGGCAGAGAATCCGCGCACGCAGCTGGACTTTCTGGCGCCGCCTGGCGCCAGGAGGCGCCCAGGTCTCGAGGCAAGGGCCCAGTGGCGGGGCGGAAGCCAGCTACATGCAGCAGATGTTGTACCCCCCTCCCCCCCACTTCCCCCTATCCTGCGCTCTCGTCCAGCCCGATTGGTCAACGCAGCTCGCCTACTCGCCATCGCTCGGACGTCCATTCCCTGTGTTTTTTTCGATTTCGTGCGTGGTTTTTTCGCCAAATAATCAAGGATGCTCCTCGATGGTCCTCGCCGAAGGAAAAATGCACACGTCCGAGCGATGCCAAGGATTGGTCAACGCAGCTCGCCTACGGTAGGCTCGTGCGGCGTCGCCGCGCGCCGAGGTTTTTGACACCGCGTCGATCGTTCGACCTCGAATCGATCGCGGCCCAGATCGTTCGAGGTGGAATTCCGTCGTGTCCAATGGCGTCACCGTGTCCCTCGGTACTTCCGCGTCGCAGAATTCCACATTGAACGCCTTCGCCAGCGTCGCCGGCACGCCATCGCCGCACGAACCTACCGCAGGAATCATTACTGGATGAGCTGGTGGGGTTGCGCGACTCGTCAAGAATTGAACCACACAGCATCGGCCACGTTTTTCAGCAGGCGGCTGGCGCTTTTGATTGCCGCCGAGTGCCTAAGAGAAGAGATTGTTCTGTAGAGACAGGGGGACCTAGACCGACTTAAGGCGACACTGGTGCATGCATACCTGGGACGACGATGATGGGACGGGAGGGGGATGAGGGCGCGGAGATGGAATACGGAGAACGAGAACGAGGGAGAGAAGGCAAGATTGGGGGGACCGAGCAATGACATAACCACAACGACTCGGAGGTCCGCGCGGATTTCTCGGATCCGCGCTGGACCCCCTCCCTGGCGCGCGGAGCGCGCTAGGGGGAAGCGCCGGAGGCCCCTCCCGGGGGGGGGGGGGGGGGGGCCAGCGCCGAGCCGAGACATCCGCGCGGACCTCCGAGTTCTTATGTTTGTTATGTCGTTCTCCGTTCCCCTGAGGATGTTTGTCTATTATGTCTACTATTTTTACTATCATTATGATGTCGTTTATCATGCTTGTGTTTGTTATGGCGTCGCTCGTTCCCCTAAGGATGCGCTTCACGACCTGGTATCTCGAGCGCAGCATCATGCCGACCTTCCAGGAGAAGTGCGCGATCTCCTCCCGGGGGGGCGGGCCGGCCAGGCGGGGCGCGCCCTGCCTCACATTCGGGGATGAACAGAACCCCCCTTAGCAAAACGTGGTTTCGTGGAAACGACCTGAGGCGCAAACCTAGCGGGCGCAAGCCTGGAAAACCACGGCCGCGGCGCCCTCTCGAGAACCGAGAACGGACAATTCACTAATCGACGTGTCACTGATGGGGGTTCTGTCCACCCCCGACACATATTGACTGTCGCTGGGTGCGGCCGCTCGGGGCGCCGCGGGCGCTCGAATTCACTGGGCGGGAGGGCGTCCGGCGCGGCAGGCGATGCGGGCTCGTGCTGCCGGGCTGCTCCTGGCCAGAAGGCCCCCCGGGTGATGGCCGGACGGGAAGGCGACGACGGCACCTCTGGAGGGGCCCTGGGGCGCACGTCGATTCCTCCTCTCTCCTCTTTCCAGCGAGAGGGAGGTGGGGAGGGAGGTGGGGGTGGTGGACATTTTTGGGCCCCCCATGTTGGGGGTTTCGAGAAGGCCCCAGGGGCCAGCAGAGAGGATGGTTCCACGGCCCGCCGAGCACCGAGCTCCGTCCATCGGCTTGGCCGACTGCCTCCAGGCCTGCCGTTTGGGCTCTCGCCCTGGGGCGCAGGGCTCCCTGTAGTTTCCCACAGCTTCTGGGCTCTGGCCTTCCACCCCCGCATTTCCCCATAATAGTGTTTCCCATACAGCAGAGGGCAACAATCTTAGTGACAGCCCCCCTGCCCCCCAAACTCAGAGTGGGCACGCGCGGGGGAGACTGCGGTCGAGGTGCCACTCGTCAGACCCACCGCCAGCTTTGAGCACTGGGGGGAGGGGGAGGCGTTCACAGATGAATGTGGCACGAATGTTCGCTATTTTTTTCCGAAGCCTGTCTTGCCTATGATCCTCCACATCCCTTATTAATCGACCCCCCCCTAAAAAACCGGACCCCCCTCCAAATGCGACCCAATATTCCGGACCCCCCTCGTCGACGGGGCGCCTGAATAAACCATACCCCCGAAGCTCCAATCCAAAGAAAGCGCCCTAATAAACCGGACCCCCCCGTTACAAAAAAGGCGCCTTAAAAACCCAGAACTGGGGGAGGATCAATAAGGGATTTGGAGTAATATGTTTCCTTGGTCTTGCATGAAGAAGCGCTGCCTGGACCCTTGTCAGGGTGGCTCCTCGCGGCCGCGCCCCTCGATATGTATGGGTTTGCTATGCGCTATGCCTGTTTCTTTTTTGGGAGGCAGTGCTCTGTTACATGTTGAATGATGTGCAGTGCTGCGGGCCAAACAGAAAACACACTGGGAGCGGTCAGGACCTCCAGACGACCCAGACACGCTGCCAAGGTGGCTTCATAACCCCAATTTTCTTCCAATGTGACCTCAAGAAGCTCCCTCAGGACCCCCAGGGGGACCCCTGATCCCGACCTAATCCAAACGTAGCCCCCATATAGCCCGAAGGCGACTCCAATATGGCCTTAACTACGAAACGGGTGACCCCGAGATGGCCCAACGATTTCAATATTGCCCCCAAACGGCCCCAAGGTGGCTTCAAAATTACCGCGAGAAAGCCTCTTGATCCGAATCCGACACGAATCTGATCTCAATACGGCCTCACGACGAATCCAGGACGACCTCAATATGGCGGGGTGTGTGAGCATCTTCAAGATTCACGGGCAACCCATCTTTTTTAACGCCGAGATCTACGTTTGGTTGGGAGGAACCGGTCTGACCACAAATTCTTCAGTCGGCCAGGATGCCGCCCAGACCACGCACCAAGGCTGTCGTGATAGTCTTCTAGGGGGGGAGGCGTAGAGAGGGGAGACTCGGCGCCGTCTGTCCCTCCATCTTACTCGGGACCGCCGCGGTGCCATCGGGCGCGCTGCGGAAACCCAGGGTTTTTCGGACCAACGGAGTACGTCACACCATGCGACGCAGTGCCCGTCTATGCCATTCTACGCTATGCAGTTGCGTGTCATGCAATTCCGCGCCACGCTGGGTAAAATCAGGTTTACAACACATACAGCAACTGCGTTATGCTGAGCTGTACCGCCCTGGGATACAGGGCTGCCATGTCCTACCTCGTGGCGCACGCAGCGCAGCGCCATCGCCTGCCACGCGATGCTGTGCACTTCTGCGCGCCGGTGTGCTGCAACGCTGTGCTTTGCCGTGCCATGCTGTGCGCTGCCGCGTGCAACCGTGTTGCAGCTGCCGGGCAGAGAGAGAAGGGGACGCAGGAGGCTATGGGCTCAGCGTGTTGCGGCGGCGGCGGCCCCAGCGGCACCCCCTGCCCTGAAGCCACAATAACTAACGTGTAGCTCCGCTCGGCTCCGCGGGGCGGGATGCTCAGAAAAGCTCGGGACGTTGCCGCATGTGGACCGGGAAGTGGACAGCGTGTCGCGTCAGGGTTTAACCTAAACGGTGATTTTCGATTTCGTTGTGTTTTTCGTTCTTCCTCGCTTTGTTTTCGTCTAGCCTTGAATGCAAACCAGAACGAGAAACAAAACGGCCCACGAAATGGCCAAAACACCGTTTCGGTGCAGCCCTGTGTCGCGTCGAAGCGCGGTGGGCCAGAATCGGCGGAGCGACACGCTCGCCAACAATTTCTGTCCGTAAGACCAGGGACGAAAGAAAACCCGTCCAAGGACTAGAGAAACCCGCTGAAGTTGCATCTTCAGAGGACCATGGGTGTCCCGTCGCGCTGCGATCCGCGCCGAATCCGCGTCGAATCCGTGTCGAATCCAAATGGAAGTCAAGTCGAGTCTGCGTCGAACCAGCATCGGAGTGAGAAGAGCAGGCCGCCATCTGCAGGGCAAGAGAGGCCCTCCGAAGATACAACATGCAACGTGACGCCCCGAGCGGAGGAGGAGGAGGAGCAGGAGGAGGAGGAGGAGGGGGAGGAGGAGCAGGAGGAGGAGCAGGAGCAGGAAGAGGAGGAGCAGGAGGAGGAGCAGGAGGAGGAGGAGGAGGAGCAGGAGGAGGAGGAGGAG